CATGCACCCACGGATGCAATGATTTAGGGGAGTCTCCTATATGTTTTAGTATGTGCAATTGACATTTGAGGTCATTTTGTGAATTCTAATCATAAGCACATATTAAGGGGAGCCTCTCATAAATCATTGAACCCAAAAGTTTAAATGTTTATATCATTTTTTAGCTTTAATCAAGTTGTCATCAATCACCAAAAGGGGAGATTGAAAGTGCATCTAGCCCTTTAGTGGGTTTTGGATGATTGAATGACAACGTGATTAAAGGACTAACCCGTTGCTAAGTGTGAACAGGTAATAGGTTATCTCACAGGTACTTAATGAAAGCCAAAATGATGTGTTGTTGTATAAACAATCTAGTTCGAGCACAAGACAACAATGCAAATTGAATTCATGTGAAGGCTTATTTTTGTGGGATTTCCATTGACTATGTGAAAGCAAGCTCATGATTATTAGTTAATGAGACATGAGGGATTGCATATGGAATGGTCTCATATTTGAAGCTTGCTAAATTAAAATGAAAAAGATAACAATACATATGAATGGATGATTCAACACAAGATGTGACTTGATGGCTTGAGATGGTGAAGATAGCAAGGAAAGGCTTCGAGGTACTAAGCAAGGGTGAAAAGGGTTTGACGGCTTGGCGGCCGAAGAACCTAGCTAGGGTGAAGAAGAAAGTACTTGCATTTAGTTGAGGTACTAATCAAGCTAAGATGGTCATATTGATGTGAAGAATCAAATCTATAATGAAGTATTTGATGGAAGTGACTTGATACATTTGGGGTTATTCAAATTTGATGAATGGAATCAAGTCACATGCTCAAGATGGCTATGCTCAAATGAAAAGATCAACATCAACTTGTTAGCACCCTTACTTGATGAAGATTGGAAGGACGGCATCAATTCAAAAGAAATCAACTCAAGTGGTATAAATTCATTTTCTTTTGATCTTGAGTTTAATAGGTATGCCGTACTATTAAGAGGGATGGATCATGTTGATAGATAATGTTTCATAAGTGCTCAAGCCAACCCATGTGAGTTTTGAGTATTTGAGAGACAAAAGAGCTAATCGATTTGTTGTTGATGCGGCAATACGGACGTGTCCGGTATTCATACCGGACGTGTCGGTATTTGTCCAACAGACTGTAAAATTGTTGTTCTCGGGTTGGTTAGTCGGGAGTTCCGGCGTGGGTCGGAGTTCCGACGGTCGGAGTCCCGGCATGGGTCGGGAGTTCGACGTGTCGCACTTCAACCGACTTGGAGGGTTCTTCTGTCTTGGTCATACCGGACGTGTCCGGTATTAATGCCGGACGTGTCCGGTATGGATGACCAGAAGCCAACGGCTAGTTTTCAAAAGCCGTGAGGGTCGGGAGTTCCGGCGTATGTCGGGAGTTCCGACGGTCGGAGTTCCGACATATGTCGGGAGTTCCGACACCTCACTAACTTTAACTCAGTTACATGTTTTTCAAAATTACTGAGGGTCAGGGGTTCCGACTTGAGTCAGGAGTTCCGACGGTCGGAAGTCCCGGCATTCTTCGGGAGTTCCGATGCCTCACAACATCACTGTAACTTAGTTACCGTTGGCGCAGTCTGAGTCCGTTATGCATACCGGACGTGTCCGGTATTGCAACGGCTATAAAACGGCTAGTTTTTCAAGGGGCTATAAATACCCCAAGCCTCCACCTTTGAGGCTGCTGATTCTCTTGACTTAGACACATTTTTGAGCCTTGCCAACCCTCTCTTAGTGAGTGATTGATCAAACTTGCAAAATCAATTTGTGGGTTGAGTGAAATTCAAAAGAGAGCCATCCAACCACTTGAGCACTTGTGCATATTGTTAATCTCGTGATTCGCATTTGTTACTCTTGGACTCTTCGGTCCTAGACGGTTAGGGGCGTCATCGCCGGAGAGCAACCTAGAGATTGTGGTTGCTGCCGGAAAGTTTGTAGCAGTCACGATTCCGTCGCCTCGGAATCAAATTAGTGGAAGGAGGAAAAGGAGTTGGAAAAGACTCGGCTAGAGTGACCTTCGTGGTACCCTCTAGGGCTGACCTTATTTGGTCGCCCTGCAGCCCCCTCAACGGAGAGTAGGACTCGAACGAGTCCGAACTTCGCGTAAAACAAATATCGTGTCTAAATTCGCATTTCATTTGATATTTGTGTTGCTCTAGCAGCATTCTCTGCAGGTTCTCTGTGTATATTGTCATCTCCACTAGGTGCCTGCAGGTTTGGTTTGAAGATAGAAATCGAAAGGAGAAAGTTCGGGGCAGATCTGCGAAATCGTGTATCTGGGACACGTCCAGTATTCATACTGGGACACGTCCGGTATTTCTGTCTGCACCGAAAATATTTATTCTCTGTTCTAACTTGGTGTTGCGGGGTTGTAGCTTCTAGATATATTCTTTATACCTTGTTTACTTTGTGGCTAACTTGTGAGGGGTGGTAGTACTCTTGATTTGGAGTTTCCATTTTGGAAACTCCCCCTTCTAATTGTTTCCGCTTTTAAAGGTGTTAATTTTCAGAAACGCCTATTCACCCCCCCTCTAGGCGGCATCCTAGGTCCTTTCAATAAGCCCAACGACCTATTGGGTCTTGGTCACGCGCCCTGATCGAGGGCGCCCAACCCTACATGGTTGGTGGGCTCCCGTTGCACTGCGCTATATAAAGAGGTGAGGGGCCGGCGGCTCAAAGCACGAGGTTCGTCGTGAGCCGCAAACCCCACCGACAAACCCTAGACCGATCTAAGAGGCCGCGCAGCCAGCGACGGGAAGCTCCGCTGACTCTCGCCGTCGTCACTGCTACGCCCCGTCTGCACTGCATCGACGTCCGTGCAACCTCTACTCCACCCGTCGCTGCCCGTGTGCTGCCTCCATCAACGAACCAGCGATGGCCAGCTCAACTGCGACTTCATCCGAAGGCTCAGGTTCAACACCAGCACCTCTACCCTATCTCCCACTCTCTGCTTGTTCTAGTTCATCATGTTCAACAGCAAACCCCTTAGATCTACCCTAGTCGATCCACGTAATACAACATCATCGTCCTACACTTGCAGATACGACGACGCGAGGTACGTACTCGTCGTAAATGCGGTCGCGTGTGGCTGAAGCTAGCTGTGTGTGAGAGTGCGACTGTGTGTGTGTCACGCGGCGTGTGGCCCGTAAAGGGCGGCAGTGCAGCTGAAAAGGCAAGGGCGCCGCATGGGGGGGCAGGTTCAGTTGATCGCCGTGTCCCCAGCAGCTACCGCTGCCAGTAGCTTTGCTCCCGGGCGGCCGGCGATGCGTGCGTCCATGCTCTCTCTCTCGAGCCTGCCTAGCTAGCTATGTGCATTGCTGGATTGCTGCTGCGCGCGGCCGGTGGCCAAATGGCCATGGCAGTACAGGTAGTGAGGATCCACGTCTACTGCACGTATATATGCATCGTCTGTGCATGCTTCTTCCTCTGGGACTACTCTTGCTTCTTGCATTGAATCATTCGCGGTAAGCCATCAAGCGCAGATCGATTTCATGACATTCAAGCTAGCTAGCCACCCGTTTTGTCTTACCACTAGCTGCATGCTTCCAATTCATTCATATACTAAATCTGGAATAAATGCATACTTATAACGAGTGCCTTGTACAGTACTCCTGTATAGGAGTAGATGTTACATCAAATGCAGGTCCAAGTGGAGCTACTTGTGCATGCGAGTGGCGAACGATCGAATGTATATATACTGCTCCCTCCGATTTCAGCTTCCAAGAAGTCAAGATTTTTCAACTTTAACCAAATAGATATAAGAAAATATTAATATTTATATATGATACATAATTAGTATCATTAGATATGTATTATTAAATCTCTTTTCGTAATAAACTTATTTGAAAATACAAATGTTGCTAATATTTTCTATAAATCTAGTCAAAGTTAAAAATATTTGATCGGCACGGAACATAAAACGACACTTATTTTGAGACGAAGGAAATACTCACTGTGCTTGCATTGGTTTGGCGGCGGCGCGGATGGTATCTAGCAAAAAGAAACATATTTTAATATATTATGATAAACCAGGAAGAGGTCCTGTGCTTCCGCTAGCTGCGGCCGACACGACTCCTTCCCGCCGTACCGGAAGAGCGCAAGGTTAGTAAGGTGAAAAAGTATTCTCTTGAATGAAGCATCGGGTTCTTTTATTCTTTCATCTTTGATTGGGCAAATCTTATTTTATGTTAGCTTTTGAAATTAAAAGTAATCCTAGTTTCGTTAATTTTCAGCCTGTTCGTTTTGTCGTAAACGATCGTAGATTATTTACTGCTGGTTAGTTTGGTGTGAGAGAAAAATATTATTCCAGCTTATAATCACGATCGTATACGAGTATGCGAACAGGCTGTTTATTAAGCCGCACGTCAGTGCTTCAATCGATAGAGAGAAATCCAGCTGCGACGACATAGAACCTGGTGAAAAGTACTCTGTGTCATAAAGGCTTATGCGGTGAACTCCATAATTTTGTTCTTTTCATTCAGTAGAAATTATTTTGCATGCAATAGTACTTTTTTTCAAGAAATTAAGGAGTACTACGAAAATTCGATGTCTATTGTACGATAGTACTCAATCCATCCCAAATTGTAAGACGTTTGACTTTTTTGACACCAAGTTTAACCACTCGTCTTATTTAAAAATTTATGTAAAATATCACTTAAAATATCACTTCTTTCGTTGTGGTTTGGTTTATTAATAAAAATTCTTCAAGAATGACTTAAATTTAACTATATTTACATAAATTTTTTGAATAAGACGAGTGGTCAAACTTGGAGAAAAAAAGTCAAACGTCTTACAATTTGGGATGGAGGAAGTACTTTTTTTTTTCTTGAAAAGAAAAGCCTATGGTGTGGGCCGAATCAAATTTGGGTGCACAATGCCGGAAGCCTGGCCCAATAAGAGTAAGCACAAAAGAGACTGGCCCAAAGGACTTGTAGATCCGAAGTTTCTCACTGCGTCCTCTTCGTCGTGCCCAAAAGTCCAAAACCCAGCCCCAATGGCCGCCACCCCGCCGGCCCCGTCGCCGCCGCGCATCCTCCTCGCCGGCGACGCCCACGGCCGACTCCACCAGCTCTTCAAGCGCGTCAAATCGGTAGCTACCCCCTCTACCTACCATTCTCTCTTCCTCCTCTCGCCGGTGCCGCCGGTCGGTGACACCGTGCGCTGCCCGCCCGCAGGTGAACCAGTCGACGGGGCCATTCCACGCGCTGCTCTGCGTGGGGCAGTTCTTCTCCCCCGAGGGGGATGCCGAGGGCGCACCGGGGGACGTCGCCGACTACATCGAGGGGCTCGCTTCCGTGCCCATCCCGACCTACTTCACCGGCGACTACGGCCCCTCGGCGCCGCGGCTGCTGTTGAAGGCCGCCTCTGGCGCTCGCGGGTTCGCACCCGGCGGCATCGAGATTTGCCCCAAGCTCTTCTGGCTTAGGGGAAGCAACCGCTTCACCCTCCACGGTGTGTTTTCTGGCTAGTCTGCTCTGCTGCTAATTGATTTCATTATACAAGACCAAAAAAATTGCTACCGGCTAAATTTTTTTTTTGACATAGAGCACTGTGGAGTTAATCGAGTGTTGCACTATATCACACTCATGCAACAAAAGCAGGAGTCGCCTCTCGTGGTTCAAAATACTAAAACCTATTCGTGTACTAGGACATACATCCTTAAAAGTGATATGGAACTTCATTGAACAATGTGTAGTGATGCCTGAAAGGCTGAATGTGAACTAGTCTCACCTTTCCTCTAGCACATCCATACATAATGTTTCCTGTTTGTAGGTTTGTCGGTGGTTTATTTGTCAGGAAGAAAGGGACTAGGAGGGCCTGGCTGCTACAGCCAGGGTGACGTGGATGCCCTGCGGGCTCTTGCAGAAGAGCCAGGGATTGTCAATTTGTTCTTGACATATCCTCTTTTTTTTTCATTACTGTTCCTTCCACTGCCTGCTAGTATTAATATTGAGTTGCTTTGGGTTCGCATCTATTCTGGATGAGTCAAACTTGGGTTCCCTTGACAGTAATGAGATTGCACTAACGAATGGCCAACTGGAGTGGTCAGTGGGGCTGACACTTCCAATGTGCCTAATCAGGTTTTGGATCCTAATGGGTATGATCCTATTGTTGCTGAATTGGTTGCTGAGATTATGCCAAGGTTTGGTTCTTACTCCATAGTTTATACACAAAAAGAAAATGATTATTGAGAAAGTCAACTTAAAGCATTAACATGCAGCTTCTGTACAGCTGTAATGCTGATATTGTACCATGATATTATTATAATATATACTCAGTTGCTGACTACTAATGTTATGACCGGCGTCACATATACCAGGCGGAGGCCCATTAGTGGCTGAGCTTGTGCGCCGGCATTAGGGGGCTAACAGCCCATATTATCTATTATTTAGCCTATTTATTAGATATATCCCTTATTTGTGAAAGCTATATATATGGCTTGTAAGACATTTGGATAATGAAGCAGAAACAATCTATTGTTTCCGGCTTCCCCTGGGAGCCGGGAGTTCCTAACCCTAGCCGCATCTACGGTTCACGCGTGAACAGTGTCGCCGTTCCTGTAGCTACGCGAGGGTTAGGGCTACAGCCGCAGCTGCCCATCCTCCACCACGGCGTCCAGCCGCCGGCAGCGAGGTTTCCAGCCTGCTCCACCTCCCTCTCATCCCTACAGACTCCGTGATCTACGCGGTAGGATCCGTAATCCTATCAGCCTGGTATCAGAGCGCTCAGGAACGATGTCGCAATCTCAGCCGACCTCCTCCTTCCCACCACCACCATCTACCTCCACCGCGCCGCTCCAATCTGCGGCCTCGAGGTCTCGGAAGGCTCGTCATTGTCTCTGCTGCGCGCGCTCACGCTTCGAGTCCTTGGCGTCTGCGATCATCGACATCAACCGCAACATCGCGTCCATGCAAAGCGGCGTATGGGGACTCAAATCAAACAGCCCCCCCACCCGTCGTCGTTCTCGACGCCGCCATTATCCTTTGGGGTTACCGGCTGTGAGCTCTCAGCCATTGCTTCCGCCCTCGAGTTTCCCTTACGGGATGCGGTCTCGAGCCCGTGGGTGCCGCTCAATCTTCTTCGCTGGCCGGCTTCGCCGTCCCCGATTCCAGCATGGGCGATGGGCTCGGCCGCTCCTCCGGTCTGGTAGGATCCGTAATCCTATCAACTAACTTAACCAGATCAGTGGTTTGTGCATTATGTAGCAGAAGACAGAATGAATGCTGAAGATCCAGATTTGTGACATCGTTTGGTTCATGCGATATCACATTGCTGGTACTAAAGGTGTCTTTTATTCAAGGGAACCATATGTCAATGATTCTGCTGCCCATGTTACCCGCTTTATTGGACTTGCTAATGTTGGAAACAAAGAGAAGCAGGTATTTATATACAGATCAAACCAACTTCTTCTTGTTCAAAAAAGAAAGAAAAACCTGTTCGTTCATGTTTATACTACCTTTTTATCCTCTATCGTAATTTGTACACTACTCTATCCAGTCACAAGTGATTTGGACATGGGCATGGTCCCCAGAATGCAATTTTGACTACTATTTTTTTGTAATGTATTTATAAAGCACAGCAAAAGTATCTGTTTTGAAACTGCTTTTCAAGACAAACCTACTTATATCATTTTCAAATATATCCAAATTCAACATATAAAAAGGTAATTTTGAATCAAATTTTGAAATAGTAGACTGCACACAACCCAAAACGTCACTTATTTATGACTGGAGGGGGTATGTTTCAATACTTTCCTTGTTCCTTCCAAGCTATAAAAATCATTCAGGCATTCTTATTATCACTAATTCAGTACATGTGTCAAAGCACTAATTGCTTTCCAGTTATATGTTACGGAGTACCTACTAGCCAAAAAATTCTACTTCAAATGTGCTGCTTCAGTGATACATTGTAATTACCTAGCAATTTAAGTCATTAATTGTGTACTCCTTATTGCATATACTTTTCAGAAATTTATTCATGCGATTTCTCCTACTCCAGCATCTGTCATGTCCAGTGCCTTTCAGGGGAGACTGCTCTAAGAGATGCAAGACCTCGTAGGTGAGAAAAACAGTACACATCTCTCTCTTTCTGTCAGTCTGACTCTGTAGGCATGCCTTTTGTGCTGGTATTTACCTCATTCTATATTTTTCAAACTCCAGTGAAAGAAGACGTGTCGAGAGCAGTTGCTGGTTCTGCTTGTCAAGTCCAGATGTTGAGTCACATCTTGTCATTAGCATCGGAGAAGGTTACTACTGCACACTTGCAAAGGGGCCACTTGTTCCAAATCATGTTCTAATGATTCCCGTCGAACACTGCCCCAATACATTGATGATGCCTCCAGAAGCAGAGGCAGAACTTGGGAGATATAAGATTGCTCTGGGTAAGTACTTTGAGAAGCAAGGAAAGACTGCAGTCTACTTTGAGTGGGTTTCACCGCGCTCCCACCATGCAAACCTGCAGGTATGGATGCTTCTAACCTGATATGAAACTTACATCTGTGCAGGATCTTTGCCATGATTATGCTACATGGTAATCCTCCCAATTTCTTGCATAGGTTGTTCCTGTACCATTGCCTAAAGTAGACGCTGTTAATAAGATATTTCATCTAGCAGCAAAAAACTGGGATTTGAATTCTCTATGGTGAATCCAGGTGACTCTTTATGCATTTTTTTGCTTCCGCCTTTTGGTTGTTTGATTAAACAAAAGAAAATACATGACCACATGCAGTAGGGAAGAAATATGCTCTTGATTACATAGTAGTCAAAATTTGCGATTTTCTGAAACATAACACATATTGCTTGTCACACATGGTTGATAATTTAATCTTATACTTGTTCAACATTATTTAGTATGTCATGCTGATGTATTACTGTGATACATGATGTCAAGAGTTAAGATAGCCTTCATTGTTGATGCTCACAGGAGTAAAGATTCAAACTTTTATATTCTTTGTTGGACTATGAAGTACAATGACCAGTTGCTTCGATATTCTCTGTTGGTGATTTGATCAGATTGAACTTTGGTTTATTTAGCAATGACCAGAACTAGCTTTGAAATGTGTTAGCTCGTTCAAAGAAAGTTTTTTGTTTTTCATGGAAAGCTATGCTTTTATAATCTTCCATGAAGTTATATCGATTCAATTTCATAACTTATGATGCTTTGGCCCTGAGTAAATGATAGGTGCATTCCATTTCTGTTACCATTGATGTCTGGTTTGTTTTTACAGATGGTGCAAAAACAGCTAGAGAATCATTGATGTCTCGGTGCGAAAGCAAATCAGGCCTGTTTTATGTTGAGCTCCCGAAGGTAGAATTCTCTTGCACATGGTCGACAGTAACGAGAAGTTCCCTGTGCAGTTTGGACGCGAGGTATGACATGATCATCGTTGGCCCATTTTTAGCTTGAAACGACAAACTAGTTGAAATCAGGGAGGGAGTAGTGAAACTGCAGTAAACTAAACAGCTGTCTTCCCTTTTCATGGCCACAGGTGTTAGCGGGACTGCTAAGCATGGCGGATCGCGCAGATTGGAGGAACTGCAAGATTTCAAAGGAAGAAGAGATTGGAATGGTGGACGATTTCAAACAAGGTTTCCGCGAATTTGATCCCGTAGAGTGAAAACCATGGAAGGGCGGGCCTGGTGCAAGCGGTAGAGTCTTACCGCCTGTGATTGGAAGGTCCCGGGTTCGAGTCACGGTCTCCTCGCATTGCACAGGCGAGGGTAAAGCTTGCCACTAACACCCTTCTCCAGACCCCACACAGAGCGGGAGCTCTCTGCACTAGGTACGCCCTAGAGTGAAAACCATGCTTGTGCGCATGTGCTTGTGTTTTGCATGGAGTTTTCCTTATTGAGTAGAAAATGGAAACCCACGTTTGCAATTTGTAGCCTAATTTTGAGGTCACATCTGTATGCCCGAGAGATGGACATTATATGAAGCACTAGAATGTAACATTTTCCAATGTGGCAATTTCTGTTTTATATAAACGCATGTGCGAGCAAGATGCTTGTCTGTTATTAGACTGTCCACAGCGTTGTGCGGTGCTGAAAACAGATCCGTACATGCAAGTGGGTACTGATGCCAAGACTCATGTCTACCCACAATGTCAGCACTAGTGCTTTATTTGTGTGGGCCACCAATAGCCATGCCATGGGGGCCAGTAGCCAGCACCAGTTGCATAGTAGATGGGTGAAGAATATACTTGTTTATTCTTTCAGCACCGGTGAACCTATATGCCACGGTGCTTGATTTTTTCAATGTGGAATGGCATGAGCCGGTGTCTCATCCTTCTCTCTCCTAATTCAGCACCGGTGAAACCCAACGCTACCAACGCTGTGGGCAGTCTTAAGCGTCCCGGGACGAACGCACTTTGGTTCAGCGAGATGATTTCGGAGAAGACCTGCTTCAGCCTGTTGGACATCACCATGGATGCTATCTTGTAATATAACAGTGCACAAGCTAGTCGGCCGTAAGTACTTTATTCTCCCCAGTTGTGGCACTTTTGGGATAAGCACCACTACCATTTCATTGCACCCGTCAGGCATTTCCCCTCCTTGCAAGAAATTACGCACCTCCTGTAGTCCCGTGGAACATCCTCGCCAGCCACCCCCAATACTGAGATAGAACAGAGAGGGCATGCCATCCACCCTTGGAGCTTTGAGATCGCGGCTATCATCCAGAGCCCATTTAATTTCATCATCAGTGAAGTCCCCTAGCATTAGCAGTATATGATCATGAATCTTCGCCGCCGACCAGGGTGGCAGCTATCCCTCCGCCGACGGTGGTGTGTTTTGTTTTGAAATGGTCAAACACACTGCCCAATCAATTGTTAAGATAGCAAAGTCAGATGCAGTTGCACTGGCTAACGTTGAATTTATTATAAGGTTGGCAGTTCACAGGGAATGCTAAGCAAGAGAGGTGTTAATTAACATTTGTTAAGCAAGAGAAAACTAAGCAATAGAGAGGCGATCTCACTCTCACGTGGGTGTACGTGGATCTCAAGAACAGAAGCCAATTCTGATTCCTGCATCATTAAGAACCACCGTTATGCCCATTTCACTCAAACCACCTAACACCATTGTCGTCGCTGCCACTCAAATCACAGAGCACAAACCACCCAAACCACACAAAGGGGAGCTAGATATAGGTGGTTGAGATGGCGGGCATTATAGTGACCGCTGCGACTGGGGTGATGATCTCACTCCTCTCCAAGCTCTCGCTGCTGCTTAGTGAATAGTGATCAGTACAAGAACCTCAAGGGGGTCCGAAGGGATATCAAGTTCCTCAGCGATGAGTTGACTGAGATGAATGCAGCATTGGAGAAGCTAGCAGGCATGGATAAGCTCGATTGCCAGAAAAAGGTGTGGAGGGACAAGGTCCGTGAGATGGCCTATGACATCGAGGATTGCTTTGACATCTTCATGCACCAGCTTGGCGAGGGAGACGTCGGCAAGGATGGCTTGTTTCGCAAGACTGCACGCAAGATTAGGAAGTTGCGAGTGCGCCATCAGATTGCCAGCAAGATTCAAGAGCTCAAAGCTCGTGTCGTGGAGCGGAGTGAGAGCCGAGGTAGATACAAGATAGATAGTCTGTGTTAGAGCCTAGAGTGGTGGAAGTTGACCCAAAGCTACCTCCAATGTATGAGGATGCAAAGAGGCTTGTGGGCATCATGGGCGGATCTATATTGGGTGCAGCCGCACCCCCCAAAAAAATAGAAAAACAGTGATTATAGTTAAATTTTCACTATATTCGCACCCTCAAAATAATGATAAGAACTGTAGGATCAACTAGGCATAGATCTAGCGAGTACAACTTGACTAGAACATGATGACCAAACCCTAGAACATAAACTACGAGATCTAGATGGAGAAGGGAGAGGGGCAGTGGTCTCTGACCGTCGGAGGGTTTGGTGGAGCCGTTGGAGCCATCCATCATGTCGGTGATGTTGCCGGAGGGCGTTGGGTGATGTAGCGGTCGTAGGTGCGGCCCAGTGGCGGCGGCGAACCTCGTGGTGGTGCTTCACGTCACTGGCTGTGCACCCTCTCTACATCGGTGTTAGGGTTTTTTCGGTGGGAACTGTAGCTCGGTCAACCTCGTGAAGAGAGCCGCCGGCCCCACCTCTCTTTATAGCGCAGTATGATGGGGGCCCACCAACCATGTAGGGTTGGGCGCCCCCGATCAAGACGCGAGGTCAAGGCCCAATTCGGCCGTTGGGCCGAGCTAGAGAGATCACCCCTGACAATCTCCCCCTTAATCTTATCTTATTACTTAAACTTAACTTACTTACTTTATCTTGTTCCCATTCCATCACAGATCAGTGCATAAAGCATGTCTCATCGTCACGGTCAGTTGCCATTAGATTAAACAGCTACAATGCACTTCTCTGTTTTGAAACAAATTCTCAACTAGGCCTTTATTGTTCAGGAATTATAGGCTTTTCCTTAAACCCATGCCGGCTAAGTGTTCTCTGAACACGCTGGGTGGTAAGCCTTTTATAAGCGGATCCGCGAGCATATTTTCTGTTCTTATATGCTCAAGACTAATTATATGATCCCAGACTTTGTCTTTCACAACATAATACTTTATATCAATGTATTTGTCAGCACCACTTGACTTATTATTGTGAGCATAACATACTGCTGGATTATTATCGCAGTATAACTTGAGTGGTTTGTGTTTGTCGCCAACCACTTTCAACCCGGGCATGAATTTCTTCAGCCAATTCAACTACCCTGTGGCCTCATAACATGCTACAAACTCGGCATACATTGTGGACGATGTAGTGACGGTTTGCTTTGAGCTTTTACACAATATAGCTCCTCCTACTAGAGTGAATATGTATCATGACGTAGATTTTCTGTCATCTCCCGCATAATCAGAATCTGTATATCCCTCTATGTGCAGGAAATCGGATCTTTTGTACGTTAGCATGAGACCCTTCATACCTTACAGGTAACGTAAAACTTTCTTTACTAATTTCCAGTGTTCTATTCCTGGATTACTCTGATATCTGCCAAGTAACCCGGTAACAAATGCTAAGTCAGGGCGAGTACACACTTGAGCATACTGTAAACTTTCGATAGCTGAACTATATGGAACCGCTTTCATTTGATCGATCTCATATTAGTTCCTGGGACATTGAAATTCTCCATATCTGTCGCCCTTGACTATGGGAGCAAGTGAAGACTTACAATTTTGCATACTGTATTTCTTTAGAACTTTTTCTAAGTATGCCTTTTGTGATAATCCTAAAACCCCATTTTCTCTATCTCGGTGAATCTTTATTCCTAGGACGAATGAAGCTTCACCGAGATCCATCAGATCAAACTTCGAGGACAAGAACTTCTTTGTTTCTAGTAGTAGATTAACATCACTGCTAGCCAGCAAGATGTCATCCACATACAAGACTAGGAAAATATATTTTCCATTCTTGAACTTTGCATAAACGCAATTGTTCTCTACATTTTCTTGAAACCCAAATTTTCTTATTGTACCATCAAACTTCAAATACCACTGTCTTGAAGCTTGTTTTAATCCGTAAATGGATTTCTTTAGGCGGCATCCCATATGTTCTTTTCCTTCCACAACAAAACCTTTCGGTTGTGCCATGTAAACATTTTCCTCCAGATCCTCATTCAGGAATGCCGTCTTTACATCCATCTGATGTAATTCTAAATCGTAATGTGCTACAAGTGCCATTATGATTCTAAAAGAATCCTTACATGAGACTGGAGAAAATGTCTCATTGTAATCTATGCCTTCTCTTTGCGTGAAACCTTTCGCCATAAGTCGTGCTTTAAACCTTTCTATATTCCCTTTAGAGTCATGTTTAGTTTTGTAGACCAATTTACAGCCTACTTGAAAGGTCCTAATGGCTAGAGGGGGGGTGAATAGACTAATAAAATTCTACAACAACACTTAACAAAATGTGTTAGACAATTTTGCGGCGAAGCGAGTGTTGCGCTAGCCTACTAAAATGCAAGCCACCTACTACAATTCTATTTCGAAAAGTGTATGTCCACACAATAGCTATGACACTTAGCTAAATTAGTGTGCTCTCAAAGACTAACTAAAGAGCAACACTAATCAAACAAACAAGCTCTCACAACTAGCTACACTAAAGAGCTTGATAACTAGTTTGCGGTAATGTAAGAGTGAGCAAGAGAGTTATACCGCAGTGTAGTGGTAGGAACCAATCAATCACAATAATGAATACCAATGTAGACCAATCACCTCGGAATCAAATGATGAACACAATGATTTTTACCGAGGTTCACTTGCTTGCCGGCAAGCTAGTCCTCGTTGTGGCGATTCACTCACTTGGAGGTTCACACGCTGATTGACATCACTCGCCAAACCCTCAATAGGGTGCCGCACAACCAACACAAGATGAGGATCATACAAGCCACAAGCAATTTACTAGAGTACCTTTTGGCGCTTCGCCGGGGAAAGGTCAAGAACCCCTCACAATCACCACGATCGGAGTCGGAGACAATCACCTCCTCCACTCAACGATCCTTGCTGCTCCAAGCCGTCTAGGTGGCGGCAACCACCAAGAGTAACAAGCAAAATCTGCAGCGAAACACAATCACCAAGTGCCTCTAGATACAATGACTCAAG